ATATGAACGCTTGGGCTGATCCGGACAGCGTTTCGTTCGTTCGAAAGCGGAAAGGGCTCGGGGCTCGGGGTGCCATCCCTGGAGGGAGGGATCAAACAAAAACTTATTCGGGATCAAAAAATAAACTTCTTCTCATTCCTATGGCGAGAAGGAAGGAAGGAAGGAAGGAAGGAAGGAAGGAAGGAAGGAAGGAGGAAGGAAGGAGGGAAGGAAAGGTAGGAATTCCAGGAAGAAAGGAAGAAAGGAAGCAAGGAAGTAAAGGAAGGAAATCTGTCCTAGAATGTTTACAAAGATTAACGCACCCTTTGTTGAATCATCACTTCTTTGCGAAGGTGCTGTGCCTGCCACGAAATGAAGAAGGATTTTTCATTGATTCCTGAAAAGTTTTTTTCTCGATCCTCTGACTTTTCATTTTTAGTAGTAAGCCTAAGATAATATTTTTTTGACCCCCAATAAGTTTGTTTTGATCTTCAGGAATAAGTGTTTTTTGATGCCAGAACTTTGTTTTTGATCCCTCACCCATCCCTGGAGAGGTCAGACTGGAAGACCTGGTGGCCAAAGCTGAGCAGAGCTGCCCTGGAGCGGCGCACGATGCGGAGTCGGTGGCTTGGTCCTGGAAGCGGTGAACCGGATGTGAGCCACAATCAAAACCCGGGTAAGCGCAGGTTAGCAAGGGACAGGCCCAACCATAGGTGCGGCCGCCTTGATCATTCTGTATGTGGTGTTGGGTTCACCTGCCAGGTTTTGACTATGACTCATGTGGGTTTTGACTATGACTCCTGTGGGTTTTGGCTATGACTCATGTGGGTTTTGGCTATGACTCATGTGGGAGGTGTCTTAAATCGACTTTCATTTTTTGCTGTGCCGTCTGGTTGTCATCCCCGAGCAGAACTGGATTGCCTGTGAGCGGTCAACGCCCAGGGTCACTGATGAGCTCGACTCACCGCCCGCAGACTTATCCTTGTATCCAAAGAGAGCAACATGTCTGTGGGTCAAAAATGGGCTAACCCCAAAATGGCTTGCCCTGATAAATGGAACCCATGACTAAAACAGGAGGTCCAATTCCAGGTGGTTTGATTTTGACCCACACCCACATTTCCTTGCTGGTGCTCGGCAGGGAATTTCGGGAATGACCGTTTAGAAGTTATAAACCATCCTTCTGTGGTTTGCCTTCAGGGAACCCGGTTCATTCCCCCACATTCCCTACCGATTTCGCACCATCGCAAGTCTTTTACACGCATGAAATGCTGGGCGAACCTCTTATGCTGGGTATAAGCTGGTGCTGCGCAGTGGAAGCTGTGCCAGGCGCGCTTGCAAGAGCTGGTGGCCAAGTGGCAAGCAGGTCCGCAGCAGGCGGGGCCTGCCCTAAAAGTCATGTGGCTGTCGTTGTCAAAACCGATGGGATCCCATTTTGGGGTAGGTGAATTCACCACCCATTTTAGGACCTATTTTAGTGGTTGGATTGGGATGTTCACTGGGGATACGGGATTTTGACCCAGCGACTGAAACTTTTACCAAGATTCCACCGTTGACTCGTGCAAGACAAGTAATATGGGTCATGGATCGCGCTCCCAGCTTGGTTCAATGAACTCCAATTCAAAATGTTTGTTTTGGCATGAAGATATAGAGGGAGGGAGGAGCGGTGGGAAGAAGAGAAGGTCAAAGGGAGTGGATGGAAGGATGGAAGGATGAAGGAGCAAAAATCGAAGGCTCCCTTCCTCTCTCGATCCATGCCTCCTCCCTTCTATACCCATCCCCCGCTGAGAATTCGGATCAGCATTCAGTTGCAAAGCCCATAGGAGCCAGAGAACCTGCTGGGCTGGTTTGATGACCTACTGGATAGCCACCTCTCCTGGGAGACGAATTGCGACATGGAGACGCCGGCTTCAGCTCCCGCAAACCGCACCTTGGGCCACTTGGCGATTTGGGCATGGGTCAAAATAAAACAGGGGACCGCAGATGTTGGTCAATGTTTCCATTTACCAGGTTTCATTTTGGGTACCTATTTTTGACCCACAGCCATTTGTCTCCTTGGACCGATGTTTGTTGGAGCTTTCGAAGCAATGCTGCAGACCTCGTGGAACTTTCTTCCCGGAGAGACCGCTATGTTTCATTCGCTTGTGGGCACAAAGGCCGACATCCAGGGGCATCCAGGGATAGTTATCTTTTTTGGCCGCTGGATCCACCAAGACGCAAGCATCGCATTTCTGCAGGGTTCAAGCCATCAGAGGCTCGGCGGGGGCAGGCGACCAATGCAGTTTAGGGCCCCTGGCCCTCGCGCATGGCAACTGCTGCAGGCTGGGCGGATTGGCTCTTCCAGGAGAAGCGCGTGCAGCTGGTGGCGTCTGAAGATGGCTTGATGCTGAACACCGGCGTCATGTGCGGGGCCGAGCGCTTCGAAGTGCCATCCCGAGATCGGAGGATCCAGGGATCGATCCACAGCTTTTGTTTGCAGTTTGAACAGGGGTAAGCTAGCCAGGTTCAATATGTTCAAGGGAAGGCCAGCTTGTGTGGGCGAGCTCAGGCCAGGATACTTCAGCCCTCCTGAACCCTCCTGGACGTTCCTTGATCCCCCTGAATCCTCCTACCCCAAGAACTAGACCCATTTAGCCGCTCAAATCGCAGCCTGAAGTTTGGTGAGTATGTGGCCGAGGCTCGCCAGAGCCTCGGCTTGGTCGTGGCATCTTGGCTGCAAGTTAAGTGGGCGGATCCATCTGAAGCCGGGAGCTGAATCGAAGATCATGGTTTTGGTGAATGGCTTCTTGCTGCGAAAGGGAAACGGCGAGCTTTATGTGCGCTTATTAGAACATAATTACATCCACACACTGGGATGTGATGCAAGCAAACTGATGATATGAGTTCGTTCAGACCTTCTTCCACTACCAAGACACATCATTGTCTATTTGTTATGCGCCTGACAGAAACTTCCTTCGCCGCTTGCTCAGGTTTTGTTTCTTGATCACATCTTGACTTGCTCTTGGGCTAGAAGTTACTCTGCGTAAGTGCGCCTTCTCAGGCAAATGCGCATGTCACAGAAGACAAGGCCTCCTCTTCTCCCCTTGGCCCAGGGCATTCTTCCAGAAGGTGCGCTGGATGACCTTTGGCCACAGTCCAGTGACGCAGCACCCCTGGTGGGAGCAGACGGCAATGGCAGCTCGGATGTGCCCGAGTCGTTTGAGTGTCGCGAGGGGTCACACCGAGGTGGGCTGAGGACAGTCTCAAGAGAGCCCTCTAAACCATCGATCTTGATGGACTCGGTTGCACCATTTGCGTATGGGTCAAAATTAAAGCACCAGGGGACCGCAGGTTTTGGGCCTTGGTTCCATTTCCTAGGGTTCCAAAATGGACACCCATTTTTGACCCACTACCATTTGGTACCTGAGATGTTTCGTAAGTGCTGAGGTGTACCTTCTGCAGTTTCCATTCGCTGCTGAGCTGCAAGACTGTCGAGTGTGCGGCTCACCCAGGTGCGAGAAAAAAGAGAGGAAACAAACTGTGCGTCCCCCCAAAAAAGCACTTCTAAACCAGCCTACTGGGGCTGCCGCCTCCCCGCCTCCCCGCCTCCCCACCTCCCCGAAACCGCTCGGTCGCAGAGGTCTTGGCCCGCGCGGCCGAAGCTCGGGAGCTGCCGGGGCGCCCGGGCGCGGCGGCCTGGGCGGCGCTGGCGCAGAAGACCATCAACGGCGCCACGTCGAAAATCCGTGGAAGGGGCGGGTGGGGTGGGGGTGGGGTAGAAAAGAAGTGTGGGGGTGTGGGGGGGTGGCTGGGGTGGGGTGGGGTGGGGTGGGGTGGGGTGGGGTGGGTGGGGGGTGGGGTGGGGTGGGGTGGGGTGGGGTGGGGTGGGGTGGGGTGGGGTGGGGTGGGGTGGGGTGGGGTGGGGTGGGGTGGGGTGGGGTGGGGTGGGGTGGGGTGGGGTGGGGTGGGGTGGGGTGGGGTGGGGTGGGGTGGGGTGGGGTGGGGTGGGGTGGGGTGGGGTGGGGGGGTTTGGGGCGGGGGGGGGGGTGACGGCTTGTGGCGGCTTTGAAGACCCCCCAACACCAGCCCCAAACCCCTGAACCAGCACCAAAGCAATCCGAACATGAGCAGCTGTTGTGTTCTTGGCTGCGTTTTTTGCTTGCGAGCGTTTCCGTGTTCGCAGCCGTCTACCCAAAACCAGCGATACACAGAAAAGATAGAGTCAACATAGGGAGAGAGAAAGAGGCACAGAGAGGCTAGAGCGAGTCAGAGGGAGATAGAGAGAGACAGAGAGAGAGAGAGAGAGAGCGAGAGAGGGAGAGACACAGAGTGACAGAGAAGCGTTTTTACTGCAGAGGAACACGTCCTTGGCGAGTGCTCAGGTTATCCACCGCTCGTGTCATCAGCCCTGCTTACCCACACCACCTTTGAGCCGGGAGACTTCGTCGTCTCCTTCTCGGGGTGCAAGATCTACTCTTCGCAGGAGGCCGGAGTTTCTGCAAAACGCACACACGAGCTATCTGACAACTTCAGAGGTGCAGTGCTCCATGGTGATGCGTCCCCCCTTTTTTTTTAAGATGCCATTGTTGCCCTTTTTGCCGCGGATGCACCATGGACCTTTTCAGGTGTGCAATCAGCTCTTCCTCAACTATTTCTTCCAGGCGCAGCTGAACTCTTCATGACATTTGTCAGCGGATCCAGGGTTTGCAAAGCTCAGCTTGCACGCTTCCTCCATGTGTTTGCCCCCGACGTGTGGCCAGGTGCACAGCCTGCAGGAGCTTGCTGAGGATCCAGCCTTGCAGCCCTGGCTGTGACAAAGCGATGCGCATCACGCGCTTTTGGCACGGGCAGCAAAGTCCTGCGGAGTGCCTCCAGGCCCAATGCGGCTGAGAGCAGGCCGGGGTCCGCCCGCCATATCAGAGGTCAAGAAAAGAGCGCATCTGGGAAAGGCTTCTTGCCGTGGGCTCTTTGCAGGAGTTGTTTTCAAACAGAGTTGAAACGCTGGCCAGTGTGAGCGCTGCTCGCTGTGGTCGGCAGAGCCTGAGGCCCAACCTCTACAGAAACGGTGAGCGTGGCACGTTTGGCGCTTCCGCTGTAGCCTTGCAAAGGACTCGCCAACTTGGCAGCCAGCTAGCCTCTCATTCAAAGCAATTGCATCCATAAGTTAGTCCGGGATGGGCCAATCATTCAGAAGTGGCCATGGGGCAAAGTCCAAATCGTACCCCCAGTGAACATCCCAATCCCCAGTAAAATCGGTTCTAAAATGGGTGGTGCACCTACCCCAAAATGGGATCCCAAAACGGTTTTGACAGCCACAGCCAAGTGGATTCCATTTTAAACCAACCAATGAACAGTGGCCCAGCATTGCGTCCAGCACGTCGTGCGTTGACGCCAGGGCGGGCAGGTCTCCTCCCTTTGGGTGGGGAGCTGAGTTTGTTGGGACGGCAGATCGGGATCCAGCTGGGGCTGGGCTGGGAGGGGCCGAAGGTCGGGCTTCTAATGGAAAAAAACAAGAAAGACTCACATGGGATCTGCCTCATGGGATAAAACCTCCCAACATGGACGGCTTGCATCGGGTTTCCCTTTGTACCAACCCCCATTCAGCAAAAAGACACTCTTATCCGTGACGATGCTCATGGAACTCCGGCCTGGATTCGGAGCATGTGCTAAGGCCTGCTCGCTGGGCGGAGTGGCAGCGTGCACTGAGCAAGCTGGGGAGGAGCGACAGTGATCTGGATATTTCAAACGGAAACACCCTCAAACCGGTCAGTATACATAAATCCATGCTCATGATGCCCAGCCAAGGCGTGCGCAATCAAGATTCATTCGCAGATGGAGTATTCGCAGCAAATTGGGCTAGACAGCGTAGATGACATGGAACATGCCACCAGGTTGTAAAGGACCAAACTGATCAATCATGCGCAGCTTGCGACACGTTTGCGCTGCTTTCTCCCAGCTTTGCGGTTTGAACACTTATAACTTATGACTCTGATCGGGGAGGCGCCCTCATTCAGCTCGGCATGGCAGGGTCAGGCTTCCTAGTTCAGGTGGCTTCCAGCATGTTGCTTTTTTTCCCCGTTGTTTTCCTTTTTCTTTTTTTTTTTGGGGGGGGGGCGGGGGGATTAGATTAGTTAGTTCCAGTATCGTTTGTGTTGCTCTTGGTGTTTGATTTTTTGGTTTCGGGTACACCACTGCTGAGCGTGTAGCGAAGGGCTGGTTCGCCAGTTTGATGTTGTTCCCTTTCTCAAGTCTTCAAGCAGCTCACCGCATGAAACCAACATATCCTATGAGGCACCGGCCAACTGTTGAGTCAACTCATCCGGCGTTTCATGGTGGACATCTCACAAACCACACCACGGTTTTATTGGGGTATACCCTTTATATAGCGGCTAGTGGCTGTATATCCCATTAAACCCTGAAATGTGTGTGGCTCAAAATTAAACAGAAGGGGCAAACCGCAGGTTTTGGTCCATGCTTAACCACTTCCCAGGGCAAGCCATTTTGGAATTCCGGGTTTTGTGAGCCACGGCCAACTGTGGACACCATCGACTTTCCTTTCCGGCCGCCCCCTTTCGCCAGGCCGGGGTGCCGAGGCCGACCAGGCCGGGAAGGCGCTCATATGGCTAGGTCCACAAACCGGAGGGGGGAAAAACCGGAGAAAACAAGAAACAAAAAAAAAACCGATGCTCGTCGGATCTTGAGAGTACGTATCTTTTCTTTGCGGTTGTTTACTTTTGGGGAGGTAAAGTGGTCCCCGGCTTCGAGATACCCCCCTTTGGCGTGATGGGTATCACAAGAAAAGCGCGAAGTTAGTGCAAATGCGAGCCACAATGAATCGGAAGGACGTTATGCAAATGCTTGATGAGTGATGAGTGCACTGTTCCAACAGAACGCTTGCACTTGGATGCGTGTTTGCGGGCAATGCAAGCTTGCCTTGAGTCGCGCTAAGTATAATTTCCACTCAACGGCACTTGTGGTCTCTGGGATTGCCCAGACGGCCGCCTGAGCGGACAGTTGCAGCTCGCACAACGCGATGTCCGGGGGCCCGAAGCAAATGGGAAGGAAGCGAAGTCAAAGCAGGATCTTGGAAATGTGTGTGTGCGTGTGCGTGCTTTTTTTTGAGGGTACCTTTTGGTGGTGTTTTGAAGGTACACCAAAGAGAAACCACTTATTTTTGGGGTTCCCTCGACGAAAAGACAGACCCAACTGGCAATGATTTTGAATGGGGAACAACCTGAAACATGGTGATCGATTCCCATGGAAGCGACGTCCACTTCAGAAACATAACCAACCCCGAAAATGGCTCTCAAGCTGTACGTTGTGACCAGGACTTCTGGGTGATGCATGGCGACCGCTTTGGCCGATGGGAACACTCACCTGCTGTATTTCCATGATCATGATCTTGACCAATTCCCTGAGGTATGCAATGGGCCATGAGGCATCAGTGAGCCTGTCGAATCTTTCCCATCCTTCATTTTTGAGCTGTTGGTTTCCGCTGGCCACTAGTGACCCCCTCCGATGTCGCACGGTTTCTTTCTTCCGTGCCGAGATTCCGCAAGCGAGATGCCGCTCTGAAGGAGCGCGGGAGAGGGGCCGCCTTGTCTGAGCTCACGGCTTTGCGGGGGAGTTTCCAAGCACCTTTTTGCGGAGTGACCCATGAGTGAACTGAGCATGAGTTCAATCGATTCCGCGCTTTTCTTTCCGTGTAGCAGAACGATTTTGATCAAATGTTTCGTGTTGAGCCCAGAACGTGCCATGTCGAAGGCCTCCAACACTTCCGCCCGAAGGCACTGGAATCTGGAAAGCAAGCGAGCACGACGACTTTGATTCAGCTGGACACAGATGCAAGCAGCGCACAGGAGGCAGAGGACATGAAAAACACAGATTCCCACAAACATGAAGAAGGACAACCTTACTTTTCCTGGGCTCTCACAATATTTTCCTGGGCTCCTGTCTTTGCAGGACGCCAGCGTACTGCAGGCCGGGGCGATGCCACAGTCCCAAGAGCTGGTTGCGGAGGGTCGTCTGTCAACCTCAATCGAAACTCGGGTAGAAGTTAGAAGGTTAGTAAGGGGCAGTCCCAGGCAGAAATGGTTGGTTCCATTTACCAAGGTGCCATTTTGGTACCGGTTTTTTGAGCCACAGCCAAATAGGTTCGGCCGCCGGTGAAATTCCAAAGACATGGATTTGGGTGGGCCATTTCCACAGGTGAGTGTGACAGTGGGGAAATCTGGGATTGGTTCCAGGCCCTCCCCGCGCGGCTTGGCACCGATGGGAACCTCCGCGCGCCTTGGCACTCCTTGGGTCGGTAGGTGTGCTTCAGGCGAAAGGTGCGGGACTGTCCTCGGTGTCTCAATGTTGGGATATTTGGGTGCAGATCCCGGCAAAGTGGTGCGGGTGTGGTCTTGTTTGGATCGGCGTAAGGGCTACTTCCAGCTCTACTGGGAGATGGACCAGTGTGCAGTTTGAACTGCCCTGGCCGAGAGGTGCTGGAATGGACCTGGCCCACAAGCGCTGCGCACTGCCCGAGGTTCACCCTGGCGGGGCCAGGAACTCGCTGCGAGACGAGGAATTCGCATGTGCAAGAGCCAGCTGCGGTCCACTTGGGAGGGATGCCGCATGAGGCGCTATCAGCAGCCACAGATGGTACGGCTGCATGCATCCGGAGATTGACCTGCGAGGATGATGATACCATTCACAGGCAAAGCTTCCCGAAACACACGCAAGCGCGAACTCAAACTTGCAAGCTTCGTGACCACGATGCGTTCTCTTCTCAGTCATTGATCTCGCCTTGGGAAAGTCAGGAAGAGAGCTTCCGCGATTTGCTGGAGCCTACCTTTTCAATCAGCGGAATGGGGCAGTTCGAGCTGGCAGATGTGGTGCCATTCGAGGCAGAAGCTGAACACCATCCGTACATCGGAAGCGACGGCGAGACTGCGAGTGAGGCCGAGATTCGTGGCGATGACATGAAGCTTGTCAACTGGAGTCTAGAAGGAAGGTCCAAGCCGCAGTCGGATTGCCTCGCAACGAGCGCATCCGAGTCTGAAGCGCCCGACATTGTTATAGACGTGCCAGACACATGCGGTTCGCATGGGAATGGCCGCTTCAGCTCTGAGGAGGATATTCAGGAACACGAGATGCTGAAGACTTGCAACTCTGAGCGCTTTGACTTGGCGCCTTCCAACGTCTTAGGCCACAAAGGAGACGATGTGCGATCCAGCCTTTCACTCAGCCCCTCGCAGGCTTCGAATTTCGAGGTCGTGATCGACGTGCCTGATCGCTGCGCGCATCGGGAGGTGGCCTTTGACGCAGCTGGTTGCTTGCCCAGACTTCGCTCCCCTTTTTGCTTGCTTTGCTTTTTTGAGGTCCCCGGTCCCCCGTGTTTTCCATACAGTTTTTCTGCCGGGGTCCGAACTCCAGCCAAGGTTGCGTCAGCCCCGGTGATGTTGCGAGTGAGGCCCTGGACACCCGCGCTCCGGACCTTTCCGCACGCTCAGCTCTGCATCGGGCCGCCGCCTTGGGTGACGTGGCATCCATCAGGCGGCTGCTGGCGGCGAAGGCGGGCTGAAGGTCAGCTTTGGAAGTTCACAGCCTCCAGGTCACATGGCCATGGGTCAAAATCCAAATCGTACCCCCAGTGAACATCCCAATCCAACCACTAAAATAGGTTCTAAAATGAGTGGTGCACCTACCCCAAAATGGTACCATTGGTTTTTGACCCACAGCCACATTTCCACACTTCGCATTTGTGGAGCATGCGCCTTAAAGTTTTTTGTCCTGTATCTAGGCTCCTTCCATGATTTTTCCAGGATCCCGATGCGAGCTTGTGTTGCATACAGCACACCAAGTTGCGATTTAGGGACCCTTGGACATCATTTGGGTGTTCATGCCCACCCACTTTGGTGGTTCCCTACTGAGAGGGGCAGTGTACTTAGAAAGTGGTTAGCACGCCTGGCTTTCACCCACTTAGGAGACTTACAACCATGGCTTTTGTGGGTTATCACCATGGTTCTTACCCACTTTTTAAGTTCCCTGCCGCTGTAAGTAGTCAAAAAACCAGCCCGCGGCTTTCGCCACATTCCGAGGCCGCCGTGGACGGCGTGTCCCACGGCTTCACCGCCCTCCACGACGCCGCGCACCGCGGCCGCGCGGCCGCGGTGGCGGAGCTGCTGCGGAGCTCCGCGTCGGCGTCGCCCGCCGGCGCGGAGGGCGCCACGCCGCTGGAGCTGGCGGCAAGGGCCGGGCACTGCGAGGCGGGGATGGGGATGGGTCATGGGTTTCTCTCTGTTTGTGAAAATGGAGGAGACCAAGAGTCGTGGTTTCTTGGGGAGTCCTTCTTTCTCTTTATCTTTCTCTGTCTCTCTCTCTCTCTCTCTCTCTCTCTGTTGGTGAGAATGGTGGCCGCCAAAAATCGTTGTACCGTTTTGGTTGAACAAGTACACCCGGATGGAGGTTTGGGCGCTAGTCCAGTGAGGCTTGGTTTGCACCTGGTTTTGGGTAGTGCAGCTTGCAGGTGGTGCAGCTGCTGGCAGCCGCCTGGCCAGCTGAGGGTAAAGCCGCGCTTCGACCGCTGCAGCTGGCGGCCCAGTTTGGGCGCCGAGAGGTGCTGCAGCTCCTGCTGCAGCTGCGGAGACCCCACTTGAGGACGGAATCGCCGGCGCCTAGCGAGAGCAGCAGCTTGTCCGAGGTTTGCTTGTCTAATTATGCTTCTTTTCATTTGGGGACCTATGGGATGGGAGATATTTGTCTAGTTTTCAGGGTGTTCGTCATTGCGGATAGCCATTTGGAAGGGTTTGCCGAGTGTTCTGACTACGAGAATGCCATGAGTTTGACCATGGGTGCAGGGAGCAACAGCTCGATTCCTGTTGGCCCTTGGAACACTGAAGAAGCACATCCACCAGTTGCTGTAGGGAGCACACACAATTGCAAAGTAAGAGCGCTACTAGGAACAAAGAACATAGCTTCGTGATCCAAGTGAACTTAGCCCTAGTAGCACAAACTGACAGGGAGGATGGCGGCGAGGCGGGAGTGAGACCAAACCACTGGATCCTGAACTTCTGAAGGCGGAGCAAAGTGCCTTCTGACCCGGGCTACATGAGATGCTGCCAACCACCTTACGGTATATTACGTGAGGGTTGCAATTTGAGTAAAAGTTTCTGCGGCTGCACACAGTTGCCCTTGACGGGGGAACATATTGGCCTTCCTTGTGTGTTGGCAATACACCCTTGAAGAAAGTAGAGTGCTTTTGCGTTGCGAGCTGTGGCAGGGCGGAATGAGCCACTTTTTAAGACAGGTGTTGCGCGTCGGATTTGGGTGATCCAGGAGGCAGCTCGCAGTGATCGATGCCATGCGAGCTTTGTAGATAGGTTGAGTTCTCGAATGCTAGTGCAGTAGCTGCTAGTTGCAGGCAAAAGCTTGCAAGGGGTTTGTTATCTTGAAGAGCCACTCTTCTGCACTGCTTGGCACCGTGACTGGCACACAAGAGCAATTTCAGCTTGACAAGACCAAAAACAGCCTGTGTAGCTCCTTTTGCATGTCACGAAACCACGGAAGATTGAGAGCCATTCACGTCTGTCATTCCTGCACTTAGGCTTTGGCAGTGTCATATGTCCACCGAGATGGCCTCAAAAAGACCGCTCTGCCGGGCTATTGATGTCTCTCTCAGTTTGGTAGCATCCAGGCCCCTGCCACTCAGTACAGAGGCCGTGCTTTGCAGAACCGAGTGGTCAGCGAATCAACCAGAGCACTGGTGAGTTGGTCAACCCAGGCGGCAAAGCGTTTGAATGAGTGAGCCAGGCTGCACCGCAGCAACAGCAGTGTCACCGCAGTGTCAGGCACTACCGGTGGGTGTTTGGACGACTGGTGTTAACATCGGCTCGGTCACCGTCCACTTTGCAGGTCCCAGCATGATGCACATGTTCAGAACCGGCATCCGATAGATGTGGCTGTGGGTGTCAAAACCAATGGGATCCCATTTTGGGGTAGGTGAACTCACCACCCATTTTAGAACCTATTTTAGTGGTTGGATTGGGATGTTCACTGGGGGTATGATTTGGATTTTGACCCATGGCCATGTCTCAGCGCAACCTGAAAATCACAGACATGAGAGTCAGCAGGCAGAGGCTTAGCGGTTTTGGCTTCCTGTGGCGAAGGCTGTGAGCGAACGGTGCTGGAAGATGAGAACAAGAGGCTGCGGGAGGACGGAATGCCTGACGAGAATGGTGGCCAAAACACGAGGCGACAGATTACTTGTGGAGAAGGTATATATGGTGTATATATGTATATGCACACTGGCATGCTTAATATGTGCACATATATATGGTCCCGTGTTCCGTGTTGCTACCCCCCCCCCCCATATGGTATGGGTCCCCCAGACCCCCCCCTCCAGCCCCGGCCCGAGACCCCGAGCCCCCGGATCCTGGCACCTACGGTCCCACCCCCACCCCGACACCGCGGCACCCCCACCGCCAGGACAAGCCAACCCGCAACCAACCATAAACCAACCCGCCCTCCCCCCCCAATGGTCATGGGTCAGACAAGTACCCCCCCCCCCCCCTTTGGTTGTGGTCCTGCGGTTGAGTTGTGGTAGTTTAGGGTTGGTTTAGAATTGGTTTAGGGTATATTTAGGGTGTATTTAGGGTTAGTTTAGGGTTGGTTTAGGGTTGATTTATGTTGATTTAGGGTTGGTTTAGGGTTGGTTTAGGTTTAGAGGTGTACGGCTTAGGGATTGGTTTAGGGTGTATTTAGGGTTGGCTTGGGGTTAGTTTAGGGTTGGTTTAGGTTTAGGGTTTATTGTTTAGGGATTGGTTTAGGGTGTATTTGGGGTCAGTTTAGGGTTGGCTTAGGGTTGGTTTAGGGTTGGTTTAGGGTTGGTTTATGTTGATTTAGGGTTGGTTTAGGTTTAGAGGTCTACGGTTTAGGGTTTGGTTTAGGGTGTATTTAGGGTTGGGGGGGCTGGCAACGCTGTACCATATATATATATATATACATACATTATATTACATTAGATTGCGTTACGTTACGTTACGCTACATGACGTTGCATTACATACATACCATAAATACACACACAAACACATACATGCATGCATACGTACGTACGTACGTGCGTGCATGCATACATTGCAACATACACATACACACATACACACACACACATACAGAAATACATACATACATACATACATACATACATACATACATACATACATACATACATACATACATACATACATACATACATACATACATACATACATACATACATACATACATACATACATACATACATACATACATACATACATACATACATACATACACATACATACATACACATACATACATACATACATACATACATACATACATACATACATACATACATACATACATACATACATACATACATACATACATACATACATACATACATACATACATACATACATACATACATACATACATACATACATACATACATACATACATACACATACATACATACATACATACATACATACATACATACATACATACATACATACATACATACATACATACATACATACATACATACATACATACATACATACCTGCATACATACATAATTTCAGCTATCCTTTAGTGGCAACAGTGCGTCCAGGCGGACTTAGAGCAATCAAGAGCCACAGCCCAGGAGTTGGCCAAGTATCAGACCGAGGCCCTCGAGAGACATCGGAGGCGGGGCGGCCGTGCCTTGGATTTTTCAGTCTGGGGGACCCCCTCAGAACCTGCTCATGCCCTCTTGGGGAAAAGAAGGTGTGTGTGAAAGGCATTGGGACACCTCGAAACGGCTCCCTCAGAAAGGGACTAATTCAGATAAACGGCGTCCGCGTCACCCTGAGCGAAACAAACTCAAGCACTGACAAAGGACCCCTTTCTTGCACCCCTGGCACGTGCCAACCCATTTGTTGTGGAGTGCTTGAGCCACATTCTTCCGGTCGGCTCTCGCATTTTCGGGCCATTTTCGGCCCTCGATGCGGGGAGCGGGGATATCCCTCAGGCCGATGGCGGCCATTGCCGGCGGCGGTTTCCGCGCTGCTGCCTCACAGAGGCGTGGGTAGAGATCGAGCATCCATCGAGTGCCACCAACCAGTCATGGGAACTCGCTTAAATAGGTGGGTTCCTTTGGTTTCCGTTCAAAACCCAAAAGGAGGCCATTTGTTTGTTTCCATGTGGCTTCCCTCGCAAACGTGCCACCCACCCAGAGCCTTCTTTTGCTTGAACAAGCTTTGACAGAAATCGTTCGGCCTGTGGAGACCGGGCATGGGCAGCTTCCTTTGGGTTTACATTGGCATATTCCGGAATGCACGCCCCTTCCTCCTGCCAAAGGCTTGCTTGTATTAATTGGACATGGATGTTGTGGCAAAAGTTTGCCACTCTGGCTGTTGTGTTGGATCAAGTGTGTCCTGTCTACCGGCATGTTTGGTTCATGTTGATCTAGAAAATGCTTTGGATGTGATGAATCTGTGGATCCACCCCTGTAGAGTATTCAAAGAGCACTAAAGGATTACCAAGAAAGGACCGACAAGGGGAAGAGCAGGTGAAATCCCACCAAAACCCATCCAAATCGTTTACTGCAGGCAACCCATTCTTTCGAACAGTTCCAGCTGCCAAGTTGAGTGATGGGCATCGTTGTCTTCCCTCGCAGGAGCTGCATGTGTGAGGTGCTCAAGGCGAAATTGGCGCGGCGCTGCCGCCAGGTGTTGGCCCACGTGGGGCAATCGACCTCCATGCCATGCCCATCGCTGCAGGTGACTCACCTGGTTCCGCGGTAGCGGGCATTTTACGGAGAACAGTCATGCATCCTGGCGAAACTAGACAAGGGCCTCTGTCACAACTCCATGTCCTAGCTCTGTGATGGCCAGGTCTTTGTCACTGAACCTCACGCGAAAGTGGCCAGGGCTTCCGAAGCCGCGCCCCGCTGTGCTTCCGCTCAGACGACCCTAAGACGCACAGCCTCATGAGGAGTGCGCGATAAGGCATACCCCGAAGCAAGAGATTGCTAGCTGACCCGCTTCTGCAAGATCAGGCCGGCCAACGCCACGCAAAGAGGTGCACGCAGACACTTGTTTTCAACCGCAAAAGCAAAGGACACACACACACAGACACAGACACACCCACACGCGCACTTCCACACAGATTCAGGTGTATAGAAGAAGAGAGTGAGCGAGATGACAAATGAGAGATGAACATTGAGAGCAAGGAAAGAGATACACGCGCAGACACAGAGACATAGATACACAGGAACTAGATAATCCCATGCTGCGCCCATGCTGATCCACGCAAAGAGCATCGGGCACCATTTAGCTTCTTGCAGCCGCGCAGCTTCTCCCTGCGATTGCATGGAGGACGCCTCGGGGGGCCCACGTGTGAGGGTAAGAAAAGTGAGGCTTCCTGGCACCTTGCAAAACAGACATGCTGACTTCCTGGTCTTCAGAATAGCACTCCCTCAAACTGAAGCGACAGACTATCTGACGCAAAGACCAATGTTCAGCGTGGTTTCTGACTGGGGTTTTTGCGCCTGAGCCTAGGCTCCAGTGACCAGTTGAGTCACGTGCTCAAAACCCGGGCAAGTGAAGGTTGGTAAGGGAAAGACCCAGCCAGAATTAGTTGCGGATATCCGCCTTCCTAGTTCTTCACATGGTTCTGGGTTAACCATTTTTGTAGCGGCGTTTGACTGTGACACAGTTGAAGCCTAGGCTCGCGCGAGCGCGTCCGGCCGCTTCGGTCGTGTGAGGATGGCCACTGGCTGCACCAGCCCGCCACTCCGGAGGACACGGCCGCAGCGGTGGTGGACGCCTTGCGCGCCCCGGAAGAAACTTCGCCTGAGGAGTCAGCTTGCGGTTGGTGCGAAATCGGTAGGGAATGAGACATGGAACGAACCCAGGCTTTGATCCTCGAAGAAAGGAAACCACCAGTTGGATGGTTTTTCTTGGGTGCGATGGGTAGGGAATGACCGGTTTTGGATGGTTTTTCTTGGGGTCATTCCTTGTTTTTCATTCCCTACTGAGCACCAGCAAGAAAGAATGTGTCCGAGGGGAAGTAGGAGGGACTGTTGTCGCGTAAAAACATGGGTTGGAGACGTAGAGGAGTCCAGCTTTGTACTTTTTCCAGATTGCGCTCTGCCATGGTAGTTTTTAAGGCTATTCGGCTTGGATGCTGTGGCGGACCTTCTAGCAAGATCTCATATACATATATGTATATATACACACATCTATGCAGTCTGTTTCATACACGACCATATCTAAGGATTAGGCATGGGCACACACAACATCATTCCACATGACTATATATATATATATGTATATATATATACATATATATATATATATTGTCTACACCATTGAGGTTTTTATGTGTCAGCGATAAAACTGCCGACACTTTGCCTCCCAGAAAAAGGCGCCACGTGCCGCTGTGCCGCCCTTCGCGCCCTTTGCGGCCTGAGCGCCCTTCGCGCGCCCAGGGCACCTCCTCTCCGTGCTGGGCGCCGTCTTGGCCTCCGAGCCCGGGCTGCAGGCGGCCAAGGAGCTCGCGCGTTGGGCGTCCCGAAATGGGGACCTTCGGGCGAAACAGCGGGATGCCATGCAACGAGCCGACAAATGGTTTGGCGGTTTTGAGCACATGGTTCGGTTTTTGGAGAAGTGGTGTGTGTTTTTTCTTCTTCTCTGATTTGGAGTTGGTTTTGAGCAGCTTTCTTGCTTTTGCGAAATCGGTAGGGAATGAGACGTGGAATGAACCCAGGCTTTGATCCCCGAATAAAGGAAACCACTAGTTACTTGGATGGTTTTGCTGAGGGTCACCCACAGGTCACCCACATTCCCTACTGAGCACAAGCCACGTCCATACGAGCCTTTCTGCCCCAACCATCCATTGGATGACATGCCCCAAGGTTGTCAGGTGCCATATTGCTGGCTTTCTTGGAGAACACCTTGCAACCTCACTCATCATTGGACTTGCAGGCAAAGTGAACGCCGCAGACAAGACAAGCGTGCCTGCCAACTGCGACACCCAGAAGTACCGCCGGGAATGACCCTGTCCACATGCGCACACCACGGAAGAGTGTTGGTGCAGGCCCTGACGACTGGGAGGTCCCAGCGTCCACCCTATGGGCTGGGCATGTGCGTTCTGAGCGGGGGCCCTTGCAGGACGCCTCTGAGCTCCGCTCTCTGCCTGCGCTGGGAAAGAGCCTCAAGAGGCGTGGAAGAAAGACATGCGTGCGATCACTGGTAGTTTATTTGCAGTTTTGATGGAGAAGCACCGGGCATTTGCGCCCCTGGCTTCAACCTGTCACGTGATCGTGGCAAGACTTGCAGAACCCAGTATGCTTGCAACCAGGTCTCGCGTTCCAGCCATCGCTGTTTCAGTTTTGTCCGGCTTGCTTTAGGCATACCCCGGTGGGGCCACAAGCAAAAGATTGCGGCTTTGAGCGCGCAGGCTGTGGTTTGGCACGCCGACGGAAGAGTGGGACTCAAAGGACCTGTGGTGGGGGTGGCATCAGTTTTCTTAACTTGGGACCAGTTTTCTTGACCCACATGCAAGCTTAAGCTTGCTGCGGAAAATGAGCAAGTGGCTGGCGGATAGTTTCAGCCACCTGGCAGCATCGGCCTTTGCTTGCTGGCACAACTTTTGTGGATCTCTACATCACAGTACTGTTTGCCAACTATTGGAGTTTGCTGGAGCCATTCAACAAATCGCCAACACAAGGGATGGTGTCATTCGAACGCGGCATTGCGCAGGCCCACTGGTGCGTGCTGAGGCATCTATCCATGTGGGTATGGGTCAAAATTAAACCACCAGGACAGAAGGTTTTAGTCCTTGCTTCCATTTACCAGGGCAAGCCATTTTGGGGTTTGACCGCGTTTGACTGAGCCTCCTGCGAATGCGCGTCAGGAGCAGGTCCGATGGCTCTGCAGGGTGCTGGCGGTCACTGAAGGCTCCCGTGCAGGCCAGCGATCGGAGCCCTGTGCCTCGAAGAAAGCCATGGCAAGGTGTGAGGGGGGTTCTTTGCGTGGGCTGCACGGCCTGCTTTGCGTCCTCCAGTTGATTTGGGGTATCACCGGCGCCACCATCATTATATAGCAGTGCGTTTGAACCACTGGAAGGGAAGAGATATGTTCTGCTGCAATTTGAGTCAGCTTGAGAAAGCTCCAAAATACACTGGAGGACAGCAGGCGGCACTCGCCATGTAATGATGGTGGTGCCGGTGGCGGCACACCCGGGTGTCGATTGCTGGCATCTTGTGGTCACTTGCTGACGATGTGAAACGGGCAGCACTTCATCGCGGCTGGAGAAAGCAAGTGCCAAGTCGGGTGCACAGCAAAACACCAGCCCCCCTTGCTCGCAGTTGCTTCCTGCCCTTTGTTGGGCCATGAGACCCTTCTTGGCCACATCGGGGGGCCGTGTTCACCCGGGCTGGCATTTGCGCCTTCGCAGGCATCTTGTCCTTCTATGGAGCTGGCCTGCTCTTCTGTGATGCCCTGGCCAGCTTTGCAGAGGCCGGCAGGGGGTCATTCCACTCAATGATGCAATCGCTGAAGACGGCATTTGGCGATGGGTCAAAAAGCCCGTACCCCCCGCACCTACCCCAAAATGGGATCCCATTAGTTTTAACCCACAGCCATTTGCCTTATTCATTGCAATTCGCAACAGGCAGAGCTTTCAACTCATCCTTGTGCTCTTGAGCACCAACATGGCCATTGGTTTGCCTAAGCCCTTGTCTTTCCTGGTTTCCGCGATCCTGCCCAGATCAGTCTCAGAGAGATCGGGCTGATGCTGGACGAGGCTGGGCTTGACCGCTCTGACCGCTCTCCCTGCAGACAGCTTTGCGGCAACCACTCATGCGGTAGAGTTTGCGTGTGTCCATGCAGACGCCTTGGATTTATGCGACAAGTGAAGAGATGCCTCAAAGTGAAGGTGCCTATTTCGAACTCTGATGTCGAGAGTACTCTCGAGTGACAGCTCCACTTAGTCTCTTGCGGAGGGTCATTAGCCTTATGCAGGCATCGGCAGGATGTTCCTTGGTGTCCAATCAGGGCCCCGGTTTAGTGTGTGATGTTGTGTGCGGCTTGCTTCTCTCCAAAAGTCAGGAGATGCCTTCCTTTTTTCTATGAAGTTTCCTTTTTGATGTTCATGCGTGCTTGCTTCCGGTTTTCCCTTCCTGTTCCCCCCGTTTCTTTTTCCCCCCCGGGTTTTCCCGGGCGACTTGGGATGGCCAAGTCGGCCCAGCGGCCCAAAAGCCCCGCGCGCGAAAACGCGTCTGCGCGCGCAAGCGCGCGCGCGCGCGCGCCCAAGGCCTGGGCCGCGGAGGCCCTGGCAGTGCAGCAGGCCAGTAGGGTGGGACGCCTTGCGTGGGAAATGGGGCTGGCAGGTTGGGTTGGTTCGCAGGTTGGGTGGCAGGTTGGGTTGGGTTGGCAGGTTGGGTGGCTGGTTGGGTTGGGTTGGCAGGTTGGGTGGCTGGTTGGGTTGGGTTGGGTTGGTTGAGAAGTGTAAATACGTCCCCATGGGACTGAGGTCCACCAAAGGGTACCACTTGAAATGAAGAAAGGTTTGTTCACTCCTAGCCATTCGCCTTTCTTCACCAGACAAGCCGGGTAGACAGTGCATGGGAATAGCCTTTGCCTTTGGGCGGCTTGATGCTGGATTGGAGTCAGTTTGCAGCTAGCTTGACGCCTTTGCCGGCTTACATTGCTGGAGGACGTAAGCTCCGAAAGGCCAGTACAAAGGATTTGCTGCATGCATGCGACGGCCGGTGCCACGTACTTGGCCATGGGTCCAAAAGCCCGTACCCCCAGTGAACATCCCAATCCAACCACTCAAATAGGTTCTAAAATGGGTGATAAACTCACCTACCCACCAAAATGGGATCCCGTTGGTTTTGACAACCACAGCCGTTTCGTTGATGCGTGAACCCATTTCAGCCATTTGGCTTTCAGGGCCCTCCCCCTCGCGCGGCGCGGGAGGGAGGCGGGGGGATGGCTCGGCGCCTTCCATGCAGCCGCTAGAGGCGCGCGCCTCCGGCTCCTGCTGGGATGGTCTGGCGACGCGGACGGCGTGCTGCTATGGAGGCGCTCGAGGGAAAGGTGTGGCAGCCGTTGTACTAAGCCCAGGGCTCTTGGGAAATCAACCACCCCTGGGTTCAAGGGTATCTTGGGCGAAATACATACCTGCTTCCAGGGGCAGCAGGTACGTCAGGTAGGTGGGTAATGGCCATGGTGAGATAAGCCACAAAAGCATGTCATAAGTCTCTGATCAGCGGGTTATAACCAGGCTTACTATTACTAAGTATCCCTGCCACTTCAAGTGGCAGGGAGCAGGTTGAGCTTTTCATCAATGCGATAGATCCCACGGGGGCTCGCTCACATGAGCCACAATGAAAACCTGGGTAGATGAAGGTTAGTAAGGGAAAATCCCAGCCATAAATAGCTGCGGCCGCCTTCTTAATTCTTTAGCTGGTTCTGGGGATCGACCATTTTAATACCGGGCTGCAAGCGATTATGACTCACATGGCATCAACACAAAAGGGTGCCATGGCGCCGGCGCCTCCGGCCATGCGCGGAGGCAGCGGCCATCTCTGTTTCCAGGGGGAGTACACCTTTGAACGGTGCTGCTCTCCCCGCGCTGTGGCGTTAGGGCCGGAGGCCGGCGGCCCAGAGACACACGGGAGTTCCCGCGGGAAGTGGGGGAGAAGGAGAGACGGTGCCGAGGTGTTGCGGCAGGATTTGTTGGGTTTCATTGGGGAACCCCTGGCCAGCACCCCAAGTCGCCTTCCGGCCTTATTTTGCGCGGCGCAAAATCACAGTTGGACATTGAGCGGAGTCCATCGACAAGGGGATCTTGTTGGACCCATATCGCTCGACACTTCCAACAGTGTTTCTCCTTTTTGAAGCTGCCGCTCTTGGGATTCGAGGGAAGGCCCACAGGAAGTTGCCCATTGGCTGTTTTTAGTGGGGGGGAGGTGTGGAGGTGTGGGGGTGTAGGGCGTGGGGTGGGGTACCCCCCATGAGAGCCTGAGGCCTTCCAGGGATTCGTGGCGCCCAAGGATCGGGCTGGCTGCCAGGGCCCGGTTTCTTCCAGATGTTGTGCCTGAAATGGGCGGGTCTTTTTCGAGGACGCCCTTTTTAAGTACAAGGGACACTTTCAAATATTCTTATTGCAGCTGATCTGTTTTTTTTTTTTTTTTTTTTTCTCCCTGGTGAAAACGAAAGAAACACCGTTACCAGGGACACTTTGAAAGATTCTTCTTGGTTGCCCTTGGAGACAAGCAACAAATCCATTTCTGTGCTTCCGGCACTGAGATCTGCAGGACCAGCTCTTCCCTGCCTTCCTCCTGCGCCTGCGCACGCTCGCCAGCCCGGGCGGGTCCGCAGCGGCACCGGTGGCACAGCTCCTGAGGCTGGAGCTGTGGTTGTCAAAGCCGTTTTGGGATCCCATTTTGGTGGGTAGGTGAATTCACCACCCATTTTAGAACCTATTTTAGTTGGATTGGGATATTCACTGGGGGTACGGGGTTTTGACCCATGGCCATACCGACGATTTTGCCATGTTTCTTGCATGGTGTGTTTGTGCTTGTTTCTTTGTGTGCTTGTGTGTGGGTGTGCGCGCAGGTCCGTGCGGGTGCGTGCTCTGTGCGTGCGTGCCTGCTGGCCTGCCTCTTCGCGGTTGGTGTCTCTGTCTCTGCCTCTGTCTTTGTGTCTCTATGTCTCGGTGTGTTTGTGACTCTGTGTCTCTGTCTCTGTCCGTGTGTCTGTCTCTGTCCGTGTCTCTGTCTCTGTCTCTGTCACTCTCTCTCTCTCTCTGTCTGTGTGTTTGTTTGTTTGTTTGTTTGCTTGCTTGCTTGCTTGCTTGCTTGTCTGTCTGTCTGTCTGTCTGTCTGTCTGTCTGTCTGTCTGTCTGTCTCTCACTCTCTCTGTGTCTCTCTGTGTCTCTCTGTGTGTCTCTGTGTCTCTCTGAGTCTCTCCGTGTCCCTCTGTCTCTCCGTGTCTCTCTGTCTCTCTCTGTCTCTCTGTGTCTTTCTTTGTCCCTCCGTCTCTGTGTCTCTCTGTGCGTCTCTGTGTGTCTCTGTGTCTCTGCGTGAAAGAACTCTGCGCGTGCATGGGTGCGCGGGTGCGCAGGTCCCGAATGCGCGTCCGCGTGCGCGTGCAGTGCCATGCTTGTGCGTGCGTGCGCGCGCGCAGGTGCGGGAGCGGGTGCGGGTGGGTGTGTGGGTGTGTGGGGTGGGTGTCATGCCTGTGTGTGGGCGCGCGGGCGAGCGTGTGCGCCCGAGTGTTTCTGGGTCAGTTGCGCGCTTTGTTTGCCCAACCGGGCAAACAAGATCTCAAAGCACCACAGAAGCAATGGGATGGCAACGAAGAGAACAGTGTACCTTGCAATGACGTTGTATGGAATGGACCGACGTCCTTTACAATACTGCTAGCAACAAATCAGATTCCTTGGTATTCTCACTTGCAAGCCAGTTGGCACATGTTCCAGGTTCCTGCTGGACACCCTGTCTGACATGGTGAATGCCACCAAAGCAGGACCTGGGGGAATGTTTTGCAGCAACAAAGCTGGTACAAAGAGCATTTCCTTGACTGCCTTACAGGTCGCAGCCCGAAGAGTTTCGAGTCGGCCTGGTACTTCATGATGGAATACTATGCTGCTCAGCTGCGAGATAATGCCTGTTCTATGTGTTCTCTTGGCGGCGTATCAAAGCATCCGGTCTTGGTCGGCGCCAAACAAAGCCTGGGTAGCTAATAGGATTGCCCCAGCCAACCACATGCAGGTTTTGTCGAGGACCAATTTGCATGACCTGCATCTCCCACTTGGCGAAGTGGTCGTCTTCATCTTGCCATTTGAATGCTTGGCCCGCTTTAGCCGCTCAGGTTGCTCTTGAAGCCCTGAGACGACGACTCAGCCCAAACTTCCGCAAGGCGCTTGTGAGGACGCGCATGGCTTGTGGCTCATGGCTTGGGGCCAATGATCCATACAAAGGCATTGACGAGCTGCTGTGGGGTGGCTCTCCAATGTTTGTTGGCATCATTGCCCTCAACAACATGTGCAAGGGGCCATATCTGTTGCAGCGCAGACGATGGTATTTGTTTCAGAGCAATGGCAAGGGGATCAACGGTCAAGCTTCGTTGCTGTTACGCAGGCCTGTCGGTCCCGGGTGTGTGTGTGTGTGTGTGTGTGTGTGGGTGTGTGTGCGTGTGTGTGCGTGTGCCTGATAGGAGGGAAGCTCTGATTTGGCAGAGCTTCACTTCATTGGTCCGCGTGCAGTGGGGCTACACCGACTTCTGCCGATGCATGGAGGCCAGGTCATGTGTGTTGGAGTTCTTGAAAGTTTGGTATCTCTGTTGATGGCGGGTACGTTTTGGGTGGGTCTTTTTAAAAGACCCCGCCCAAAAAAGACGTTGAACACATGTAAAATCATCCAAGAAGGCGCGCGTCATACATAGCAGACCCTTTTGAGCCCCATGCACAGGGTTGCGGTGGTCCCTGGAAAGTGCACCTAGCTTCGGACGGGAACTCGCTCCAAACCTTGCAACAGCATGCTGAAAGCACAGTCTTGGGGCAGCACACAGAGTCTGATGCAGCAACTCCAGGTGATTCAGCAAGCAACTGCGATTCTGGAAGATGTAGAGAAGAGGAGTGAAATGAGGTCATAAGGGAAGACCAACACAGCAAGATACAGTAAGGAAAGAGAGACCAGCATGATCAAGTCAACGAAGATACGCCTTCAGTTTGTTTGTGTAGCCGCCAAATCTATGGACGAGCCTCAATCGAAGGACACTTCGGCCACTGGCCAGCTTTGGATGGGAAGCTTGGTGTGGGATGCCATGAGATTCCTGCGTTGCATCAACCTGAGCTCTGTAACTTGACCTCTCACCATGTTGTAGCCTCTCCCTGCCTGGAGAAGTCCGCTCACCTGCGAGTTTTTTCTATTCTTCGACGGCTTGATTCATCCAGCTGAGCCACACTCAAAACCCAGGTAGATGAAGCTCAGTAAGGGACACTCCCAGCCAGAAACAGCTGCGGCCTTCTTAATTCCTAGTCATTGTTCTGGGTCAACCATGAAAATACCAGCTTTGCCTGAAGGAGTTTTGATTTTCGGCCGTTTTTAAATTCCATTTTAACGACATGGTACGGGTTTTCCTTGTGACTCAGCTCTCCCGTAACGCGCCCGACCTCCGCCCGCGCGCTCGTTGGACGCGCTTTGGACCTCCGAGCTCTGCGGCAGGCCGCGGAGTTCTACTCCTTTGTGCGCAGCTCCTTCTGGCGGGGCGGGCTGCCCAAGCGCCGCTTCGCCGCGGCGCTGCTGAACCGCAGCCGGGGCCACTTTCAAGTGG